GTTGTGAGTGAGGGAGCTGCATGCACTCTATGGATGGAAATCCTATACACTGCCCCTTTCCCAGCCCGTTCATACGTGTTTACCACGTGTCTCTTTCTTATTGTCCTTTTCCAAGATACAAAAAGAAGTAGACAATAAATAAAGAGAAGACTGATAGAGGGAGGAGAAAAGCAAAAAGACAAAAGCGTCTCATTCCTTGTAATGTACAGATTAAAAGAGAATCAAAGTTTGATTCTTTCAAGCCTCAAAGGCAATCAACTTTCTTCCTAACCCAATTTGACTACATCAAGAATAATTCTGATAAATACAAGGCAAGCTAATGCCTATTCCAAGTCTAATTCACTTGGTTCACCTTTCATGTGAGAAACAAAGCACTTTTAAGCAAGTGGCTGTGGTCGTTCAGCAAATGAAAGCACTTTTAAATCGTGGACGGACGAGTAATTTAAAGCATTAAGTGTAGTTTAAGGTATTCTAGTCAATTTTTAACTTTCAAACGTCTTCTTGGCAACACAATCTAGTAAAAGTCGAACTGTTATATCAAACGTTAACATGCTATATAGTAACAAATTACAGTGCATTGGGCTACAACGTTAATTTTGTAATGACATGCAAAGGTTGGTAATCAACTTTATGAATTTTTTGATGTAGAAAATCCAATGACTTGAATGATCAATCAATTGAACAAAAAATTAGGGTATCGAATTGTATACTTCACAGTACAAATGAGTATACTTTTCGAATTTCCCTTAAAAAGGTTATTATCAAGCAGTTAAACATTATATTGTAATTTAAAGGTAAAAAGTATGATAACATTTAATATTCAACATTATAATTATATAGTTATGAGTAACATTAATTTCAAGATTTTTAGGAGTTAATTTTTACTATTTATTCTTATTATAATATAGTTACGTTAATATTTATAAATGGTTAATAAGTGCGTATGACATTTCCATGTATGGTATTCAAATTAATTATTTTTTTTATTCTTGTAATGACTAGAGGAAACTATTAAAACTGCAATTGAGAAACCCAAAGAATCAAACTATTATATATTTTTTATATTCTTTATCATATGTAATATGATAAATAAAATAGGTGACAAATTGCCAAAAAAATACTCAATTAAGAATTACGTACAGAACCAACATGAGAAGATATCGAATCATCCATGTTGAATAAGGATTATTCGACAATCATTAAATCTATAATCATCACAATCATTAAATTGTCATAAATTGATAACATAACGTATAACAAATCAAAGTATTTATTGAGGTGTCTTATTCAACGAATTCATAGCTAAATGAAAATATGAACAAGCCAACAATATATTATTCAGAGTTTGATGAAGAGTTCTTTGCAAACACCTTTAAATCAGATCTCTGCCACAATTAGAATTAACATATGTACTCCGATGGACATATGAAGACACTATGTAAATATTGGGCCTTCAAATTGGGTTATGAGTAATTTGTTTCAAATCAGGTTGATGGAAATAAGTAATTGGGCTTCGAATTTTGGATCTTGATGGGCCAATTTGACAGAAATTGGCCCAAATTTTAGCTCTGTGGATGGTAGGTTTTCTTGAATAACAAGTAGATGCAATAAAACCCTACCTTCCCCATAATCCCTTGTCTTTATTTTTACCTAGAATTTTTGTCAATCGATTATTCATAGGGTGAGTAATTGATAGAACAAAACTAGCCCCGAAACATTGCTAAAGCAAAGAGGAGAATCATGGCATCCTTGGCAGCCCTGGTTGATTTGTCTTGGTTAATGGCATTGTTGCAAGAAAAGCCAAAGTTCCATCAATCTTGCCCATGTCAACCAAGCACAAGGCAACAATCTTTCTTCTGCAAAGATTGCATGCTGGGTTTTTTGTTATGTGAAAGTTGCAAGAACTACTCTCTTGATCATCAAGGTCACCAAGTTCTTCAAGTAAGTAGTTTCCCCATCCTTATAACTGTATTTTTTGATTTTTAATGATTTGATAATTATTCTTTTTTGTTTCCTTTTCAGGTGTTCAAATTCATGTATCAACGATTAGGAATTAGGGTTTCGATAATACAAGATTTGTTCTACTTATCTGATATCGAATATGATAATTTTGAAAATTTTGATTGGATTGTTTACATTGATAGACAAATACAAGAAAAGCAGCATGGAAGTAGTAGTAGTAGTAAAAGTGGCTATAAAGGTAGCAAAGAGTGTGAAGTATGTGAATGTGAATTACAAAGTTCAAAATCAAAGTATTGTTCAATCGAATGCAAGGTATGAATCATTCCCTTATATTTACTTGTATTCATATTTCTCTTTACTGTTTTCCCTTTTTTCAATTGGATTCTTTTGCAGGTTGAGAAAGAGACCAATTGGATTATTACTTGCTATGAAGAAGAAGCTGCAGGTGGAACTTCTAAACAAGAAACAGATCAGAAGAACCCAAGAGCACCATCACCACCAAAGTTTCCTTTTTCCTAGATTTTCCATAGTTTTCTGCAACTATGTCAAGTTCATCTATTGAACGAAAAATGTTGTTGAAGGGATTTTACATTCTTTGAATAGTAGGGAAAAGAGTACTTTAACTATGCTTCTCTCCCACACTCTTTATAATTTTCTTCTCAGGATTACACTGCTCTAATCTCAGCATGCTACAAGTCTTCAGTTCCAGGTCAAGTTGGGGGAAGGATGAACCCAAACAGGTTCGACCCACATCACAAATGTCGAGCAATCATTGTCGAAATTGCCACATCTATCGTCCAAAGGATAGAGTTTTGTGCAATTGCTTGAAAACCAATGCCACCGTAACTCTATATCATCATCATCCGCACCAAGCACAGCACACCATGCATCTACATTGAAAGAATCAACTGAGACCACACCCTTTTCCTGAACAATTGGTTCATTAACATCTGTCCGCAACAAGTACTCACAATCCTGGCAGTTCAGCTTTCCATCATGTTGGCAATCTATTTCTTTAGCCACCAATGGTTCGAAAGAATACATTAATGGAACTTCAAAATAGCGCTTGCCATGAACGCGAAGAAAAATTTGTTTCCCACGCTTGACAGGGTACGAAATCATTCTAGAATAACCAGGAATGTAGTCTTGTATATCTAGATCGATCTAGCAACCGCGACTAGGATCCTATGCAATGGGTTCTCCATGCATATGTAAGCAATAAAATATTCCCTTGGCGAAAACTACATTAAGAGCCAGACCATTGTGCCCAGATCTAACGCAAGTCCAAGCAGAATCTCCTCGGCTGCACAGACGAACAAAATTTTGTTCAACACAACTTATGACGAAAACCATGCAATCTGGTGATGCTGGTGGAGTAGATATGGCGAAAACACGGTTAACTAACGTTGATACATCCAAAAAGGGGAGTAGAATCTTTGCCCTGGAGAAGGGATTGAAGAAGTAAAGTTCTGAAGAATCGATCCCTCCAGACCTGAAGAGCGGCAACCACCCATATTTGGACAACAGGATTCTTTTCCGGCATAGTTCTGGCATGTTGGTTTTGTAAATACGCCAGGACAACGAAGAAGAAGAAGAAGACAAACTCCCCAACATGCCTGTCGTGTGTAATACGGGGGGGTGGATATCAGCCAGGAATGACTTGTCTGTTGGAGGTTCTTTCTTCAAGATCAGAAGTCATGGAAGCTCCTTTCCTGGTTTTTCTTGTGATAAAACAGCAGCAGCAGCAGACTTGGAGAAAGCCAAACGCCAACACTTGCAAACAGCAAAAAAGTTGTTGTAATCGAGAACTGATAAGTAACTCAATATAATTCTCAAGAGATCATCGGGGAGATGGCAAAGGCAATATGATCCCTCCTTCCCTTTCCCTTTATTTTTGTTCATAGCTTCCATCTTCTGTTCAAATATATACCTGTTCATGATAACGATCATGTATAGTTTCCTCCATTGAGAATAGCCATTTAGCTCAAGACAATAACATGAAAGAGAATTAAAGAAGAAAGAGAATTACCCAATGCAGAAACCACCATGTTCATTGTCTTTTCCTTGAAAGGTTTTTCTTCAATGAAGTCCTAATCAAAAGAAAAAGAGAAAACCAATGGACAAATAGTGGGAGAAGAAAATGGGGGGCATATTCATCATAGAGCTTTAAATAATCATGAATTCTTAATAATTTTAGAAATAATTATTTTTTTGATAAAATTCAAAGTAAAAATCCATAATATGTTAATAATTAATGAAAACTAAGATAAATGAGAGCCCAACACCATAACACACCCCTTACTTCAATTAAATAAAATGAGCATGATAGTAGAGTTAAACTAAATTGAGAAAAAGAAAAAATAAAGGAGAAGGTTGGAAAAATAGACAAGCAATTTAGGGCCAATTTCGCACATTACTTAAATGTACAGGGCCTAAGCTTGTAAAAAAGCGAAACAACAGTGGCACCATAGCAAAAAAGCTCAGGAAAGCAAAGAGAAAGATCCCCCAAAATAGAAACGACCACAATTCTAAAATATTTTACTTACTACCCTCCTGGTTAACGAAAAGCTCCCGCGATTCGCAGATTTGGGAGGGGCTTTAGCCTCTGAGTATCGGCTAGCTACTGTTTGTAAGGTAAGAAAGATGTCAGACCTAGACAGGCAAATAGAGCAACTAAAGAAGTGTGAGCCCTTGAAAGAATCCGAAGTGAAAGCTCTTTGTCTTAAAGCCATGGAAATCCTCGTTGAAGAAAGCAATGTTCAAAGGGTTGATGCCCCTGTTACTGTAAGTGTTTAGATGTTCCAATATATGGGTTTTTGTTATTTTTGTGTTTATGCTGATGGGTCTTCTTCTTTTAGGCTATTGGGTCGGTTTTTGGTTGGGTTTTGATTTAGTGAAAGTAAAGGTTTTAGCTTTGTGTTCTTGGGTTATGGGAGGTTTTTTTTTTTTTGGATTGTTTTGGTTAGTGGGTTTCTTTGCTGTTTGATTTTTGTTGACATTTTAAAGGTTGGTGCTTATAGATATGTATTATTCTGTGAATTTGTATTTGGGGCAAAAAATGAGATGTAATTGACAAGGGTTTTGAAGGAAAATTGATGGAAGAAGTTTGTCTTCTTCTAAAAGGATTTGAAGCTGGGATTTTGTTTGAATGGTTGGATTTGGTTAAAGAAGACAGAACTTTTATGTAGTGGAGAATTTAATAAGGTGGATGTCAATTATGGAATGATGGAAGTAGGATGTAGGGGTTTTGAATTTTGGCTAAGTTAGGAACATTTTTATGCGGGTGATGAGATTTTAACTCAATGGAACAGTACTGGTGAGGGCATTTAGGTCGCTGTTCAGGTTATGAAGTCTATAACCTTCTTAAACTTGATACCACCCTTTCCTTTGGATATGACCTAGGAGTTTGCGGGATGTTGTGCAGCATTGGTGTAAGTCTATGGCATATGATGTTGGTACATATGTGCTTTGCAGGGTTAAGTCTTTATTTCTTGCTGGAGAACTTGGGCAGGGAATAAAGCTACCTGGAAATATTGTACAGAAACTTTGATGCTCTTTTTAATTTGGATAATAACCTTATGCAATACAGAATATTAATATTTCTTCATTGTTTTTGCATAGATATGTGGTGATATCCATGGGCAGTTTTATGATATGAAAGAGCTTTTTAAAGTAGGGGGTGATTGCCCAAAGACAAATTATCTGTTTCTTGGAGATTTTGTTGACAGAGGGTTTTACTCTGTGGAGACCTTTCTACTTCTATTGGCCTTGAAGGTAAACTGTCCTTTTGTAATTTTCTTTTGAAAAGTCTGTAGAAATTTTCTTTTTCTGATAATTTTTCCATCATCAGGTGAGATATCCGGATCGCATAACACTCATTAGAGGGAACCACGAAAGTCGTCAGATCACACAGGTTAAGCAATGTTATTTGGCTACTCTATTAGATTCTTGTGTTTTCAGAGTATTCAATTACTTTCATTTCTTGGCAGGTATATGGATTCTATGACGAATGCCTGCGTAAATATGGCTCTGTGAATGTTTGGAGATATTGCACTGACATATTTGATTACTTAAGGTTTGCGAATTTTCATTATTACAAATTATAAATTATAAAGGGGACCCACTGGTTGGAAGGGCAGTATGTTTCAGTATTGTGGAGTGGCAATTGAGTTGCTTATATAGGGCTTGTTTGGTATAGCATCATGATGTTTTGATCATAAAATGAAGTTTAGTTTTTCTGCTAGTAAAGAATTGTGAAGGCAGCAATGGAGTTGCTTATGTAGTATTCACATATAGCCACTAGATGTTTAGTACTTCATCACATCAGCCAGAGGAGCAGGTGTCCTTTGTTTAATTCTTTTTATTTGATAAGAATTGGGGCCTTTGGCAGCAACTACTCTAGTTTCTTCTCAATACTTTTATCTACTGTCTTGTATTATGTAAAAACCTCAAAATGCTACCATGTAGATGATTTCTTATAAAAGAATATAACCTTCTTTGTAACGTCAGTGAGTTGACAGTTCTAGCTACCTCCGATGCCCTTTCTTCCAGTCCCATTAAGTTGCTTGCTGCACAACCTATATTCAACTAATACTTATGTTAGGCCTTTTCTGATGATCTTTTATTTTGTCAATTCTTGTATTTTAGTCTTTCAGCACTTATTGAGAACAAAATTTTTAGCGTCCATGGTGGTCTCTCTCCTGCAATATCAACTTTGGATCAGGTCAAAGAAGCTATCTGAAATTATTTTGGTATAGTTGTGAAGCGTTATACGAGCAGTACTAACATGATACTTCTTCCAGATTCGAACAATTGATCGGAAGCAAGAAGTACCTCATGATGGTGCCATGTGTGACCTGTTGTGGTCAGACCCTGAGGATATTGTTGATGGTTGGGGTTTGAGTCCCCGAGGTGCTGGTTTCCTGTTTGGTGGCAGTGTTGTCACTTCGTTCAACCACACAAACAACATTGACTATATATGCCGTGCTCATCAGTTGGTTATGGAAGGATACAAGTGGATGTTTAATAACCAGATAGTTACAGTCTGGTCGGCTCCCAATTACTGTTACAGGTAAATTATCAATTTGAGATTCCTCTTCCGTTATGCTGTAGCTTAATGGTTTATTCTTGCATGTGTTGCAGATGCGGTAATGTTGCTGCAATTCTTGAGTTGGATGAGAATCTTAACAAGCAATTTCGCGTGTTCGATGCAGCACCTCAGGTTTGTACATATCTTATTTGCATTTGACTGCCAAATGCAAAATTGCTTGAAACTATTGGTAATCCAAGTTGGTTGCCTGCAATCATTTATAGCTATGCATTCTAGAGAATCTAGACAAGGTTGGATGAAGCGCTGATTGATACATTTTGTATTATCATGATCTGCATTTAACCGTTTTCAATCAATAAAATTGGTAGAACAACATGATCATGTTGTTTCCTTGACCAACATGTGAAAAGATGTTTCTGCACCATACTTCTGCCTTATCAACTGGTGTCTCTTCAAAACTTTTCTTCTACCCAGCCATGAACTTTCAGTTTTGTAGATTATATTGTATGGCTTGCTCAAAGTTTATTATCAAATGCAGGAATCAAGAGGAGCTCCTGCCAAAAAGCCTGCACCAGATTACTTTCTATGAATCAGATGTGAAGTGTGACCTTTTTTAGTCGATTACACTTGAATTGATCAATGGGAGGATTTGCTGTCACTTGGCGCATATGTTCTCCTACAATAGCAGAAACATCAATGGATAGCCTGCTCAATGATTAGCGAGAATTATACTTTCAATTTGTGATGAGATTACATTATTGGGCATGCCTTCCTTGTTTTGCTCCTACCTTGATCAATATGTGCTTGTAATAGTAGTGTGTATTGAGTAGCATGTTCTGTGCTGGTGAATCCCTGGTGTATTTCCTTGTTATTTTAGGGCAGTGGGGAAGAGAGAGAGAGAGAGAGAGAGAGAGAGAGAGAGAGAGAGAGAGAGTACGATTCTTAACAAGAATTGGCTTAGGAACAGCGGAGAGTGAGTTGTTGCAACCATGATTCTTATATGAGAATTTTTCAAATTGGTTTTGTGCACCAATCTAGTGCCATACAAGTTCATTTGATTGTCAAATGCTGCCATGGTTCTTTTGTTTCATATGTACAAGACCCAGGCATCCTTTTGTATGGAGCTCTATTTTCTTTCCTTCCATATTTCTTCGTCACAGTATGCCAGTGATTGGCATTGTCATCCGCAGAACTGGCTTGAGCTTAGTAAATGATTTGTCCTTGCATTATCAAAACCATATGTGTCAGCCAGGCTAAAGGAATGACATCAAAACATAGTATCAAAGTACCATATGGAAAGGAAAAAGGAGGCTAACAAAGTAGCAAGCTACCTTGGCATATGACAAAAGAAATGTAGAACTTGTACCTGATTTTCTCAAATTTATACGAATCTTGGGCTTGGATACTTGTTTTCTATGATTGTCTTAAGTAAGATGAGCATTGCCAATCGAAAGGCACGTGGGTCTTGCTTATTGGCCAAATCTTCTTACTAGTGTTCCCAAACTCCCAAAGTGCAGCTATAACTCAACATAATGAAGATAACTCCAAAAGACTTTTAACCAAGTTACCAACCAACATCTCATACTTCAACGCTCATTACTCCACCTGTTGCTTTCATGGTTTCATCAGCAAAAGGTTTTGTCTTGGAAGTAATCATCCTCTGTGAATTTTTCATGCTTAATACCATAATCTTAACCTATTTTTCCCCACATGAATATCTCTTCAAACTCCATGGCACATGCTATTGCTATACTCTTCATAGTTTTTTCATTTCTATTCATTCCTGCAAGTACCCTCTTTGAATCCGAGCAAGAAGGATACATATCTGCAGTTATATCCAATAAGGGTCTTGATTTTGCTAAGGATTTGCTTATTGAGAAAGCTGTTTCTTCCATGATTCCACTTCAGCTGTCGGATATCGAGAAGTCTGTGAAAATCCCAGTTATTGGCAAAGTTCAGCTTCGTCTATCTGATATCATAATTTACAGTGTCGATATTGCTTCTTCATCTGTTGAAACTGGGGAATCTGGTATTGTTTTAGTTGCTTCTGGTGCTACTGCTAATTTAAGTATGGACTGGGGGTACTCCTACAAAGCTTGGGTAATTACTATTTCTGATAAAGGAACTGCAATAGTTCAGGTATAGAATAACAGTTTTCGCCCTTTGCTTTTAACTTTGTAAGAACTTTGAAAGAACAACATAGACAGTGTGTTAATTTAGTGTGAACATGGTTAATTTTGTTTTGTGTTTTGTGTTTTGTGTCTATGCCATAGATCTCTGAGTTTAATAAAGCTTGGAAAGAAGGTTCTGCTTTAATAGTTTGTCTGTTTCAATGCAATTAAGCTGTCTATGTAATCCTAAACTAATGATTTTCTGAAGTTTTTAAGTTGGGAGATACACAGTTTCTTCCTGGTAATTGTTTGGGGGGACTTGGGGAGAACATAAAAATCATCACATGATGATCTATTGGAGGAAATCGGTTGTTTTATCTTAAATATGAAAGTAAAACAATTGCAGCTTTGTGGTGGGTTCAGTAAGCTTTAAAGCTTGCTTCCTCCAAATAGTTGGATTTGGAATATGAGATACCATCTGGCAGCCCCTCTGTCTGTTGACTGGTTTTGGTAAATATATTCTTGTATCCATATCTTGGCCTAGGCAAAATGGTTTGGTACTTATCAAAGAAGGTGGCTTATTTGGTGGAGACAATGTCTGCAAAGGCTAATACATTGCATCCGAATTCAGAAATTTTCTGGCAAGTTCAACGTCTTCAAATAATGTGATTTGGGTTTGAAGCAACGGGATTGAGTTGAAATTAAGATTTGTAGAAACATCTTGCTATGTTAAGTTCAATCTCTTTTCTATAGTATAGGAATAAATCTGCATAATGAGTTGTAACAGTCCAATATTTTGACAAACCAAGACCAGTGGCTTTTAATCATGTTGATTGCTTGTCAGAAAACAATTCTTGGTTTTCAAATTGCAGTAGTGGAGAGTTAGAATGAGATAAGATTTTGATTGTTCATTAGATGCTTTGTAAACCTATTCTTTATGCTTGCTGGTTCATAGGCATCATGTGCTGCTTCTGCATAGGTTCACGGCATGGTAGTGGTGCTTAATGTAGCTTTAATAAACCAAGAAGGAACTCTCAAGCTATTATTATTGGACTGTGGATGTCATGTGGAAGATATCTACATAAAGGTGGATGGTGGAGCTTCTTGGCTTTATCAAGGGTATGCAATCATTGCTCATTCGGGCACTATTGAATCCTCGAAACCTTAAAGATTTGATGATTTTCCTTGTTAATCTCCTATAAATCTGACACTATTGTGCATCAGTTAACAAACTCATAAACACCAACTTTTTAGGTGTAACATAAACATCTGTTTCTTGGATGATTATTCCTGTTTCGATCTTTACGTTGTGCTTGACTATATGTTCTTTATCTGGCCTTGATGAATCAGTTAATCATTCCTGTTAAAGATCGATGTTTTATGCTTATTGCATCTAGTCATCTCATTATCCAGGATCATTGATGCGTTCCAAGGGAAAATAGTGTCTGCAGTTGAAGATGCTATTGTCAAGAAGATCAGAGAAGGGATAATCAAGCTTGACTCATTGCTGCAATCACTTCCAAAGCAAATGCAAGTTAATGGTGTTGTTGCATTAAATGTTACTTTCGTGGATGACCCGGTGCTCAGCAATTCTTCTGTCGAACTTGAAATTAATGGTCTATTCACTGGAGCAGATGGAGTTTCAGTTTCGAACTACTACTACTACCATAAAGGATCACAAACTTTCCTTTCCTCCACGGGTTCAGCAAAAATGGTTGAAATTTCATTACATGAAAATGTTTTTCATTCTGCTGCATCAGTATACTTCAAGGTAAGTTTCTATGGTGTGAAGTCTGAGCCTTGGATTACTATGTTCTCAGGCTCCTCCCTGACAAATAACAATTTGACAATATCCCTATAACTAAATTTACTTTGATTGAAGTTAAGCTGATTTTGTCTTTGCAGAGCATTACATCTATAATGTAATTGCAACTGGATAATTAAACTGATTCTTTCATGTTCTTTTGGTGCTCAGGCAAATTACATGCGCTGGATTGTTGACAAAATACCTGATCAGTCCCTCATGAACACTGCTGGCTGGAGATTCATTATACCTCGACTGTATGAGCAATATCCGGATGATGATATGAATCTTAGTATAGCTGTAACTTCTCCACCAATCATACGAATCACAGATCATGACGTAGACACCACTATTTATGCCGATTTGGTTATCGAGGTTTTAAGTTCTGGTGAAGTTGTGCCAGTCGCTTGCATCTCATTGGTATGCTTTCCTGAAATGGTTGTCGATACCTGCAGACTTTCGTGCCTTGTTGGTCTAAATGTTTCTTTCTTTTCCTGAAATGGTGATCATTGAGAGATCGAGTTCCTCATGAACAATTCTTATATGTATTTGCTGATGCAGGTGATAAGTGCATCATGTTCTGCAGAAATACATGGGAACAATCTTGCTGGTAGCATTAGGTTGGTCAACTTCACATCATCTTTGAAATGGAGTAACATCGGTAATCTTCACATGCATCTTGTTCAGGTACAATCTGTTTTGAGCTCTTTTCCAAATCCATAATTATGTTCCTAGGAAGTCTTGCAAGCTTCTGATGCCACCGGAACATCAAAATACCTGCCAGATTCTGCATTCAATACTTTGTTTCATAATATAAACATCCATGGAAGCACTTCTGATTCATAGTTGAACCATCCGGAGCAAGATTTCTGTCTCGAATTCTGACTTTTTCCCTCCATATTCTGATAAAATTTTCCTGGTTTTTTCTTCTGGTGAACATCTGTACAGGCTGTGATGTCAACCATCCTCAGAACCTTCTTCATGCCATACCTGAACTTACATCTTGGCAAAGGGTTCCCTCTGCCACTACCCCATGGCTTCACCCTTCAGAATGCTGAGATCATCCTCCATGATTCCAGGGTTACAGTTTGCAGCGATGTCAGTTTCACTGACAGATATGATCTCAACAACCAGCTACCGGTTTCTTGGCAACACGCACTGCTTGATGTGCATACTAAAAATCAACTGTGCTCATTGTTCATGTAAATGGAAGTATGTGCAAAGTGAAAGCTGAAAACAGAATATATTCATATTATCTCATTGTTATGTATTACATTTTGTACTAGTAAAGGTTTATATTCGATATATTGTCCGTCTATAGTATTTATATACTATTATATAATTTCAAAATGCCATCTCATAAAGGTGTAAAAATAAAAAGTAAAATACTCAAACACCCTTAGTTTTTAATTATAATTACATGCAAGGGTGTAAACATTGTTAATAGAAATTGTAAAAAAATTAAAATATTTTTTTATTAATTTTAAAAATTATTATTATATTAAA